GTCAAAGACAGCTGCTCTCCCACCGAAGCTGCGGATTCCTTCTCAGAGGCCAGCTCTCGCCGGAGACCCTCGACCAACTCGTTCGCCCTGCGGGCCTGCTCGGCGGACAAAGCTTCCGCATCCCGGGCCTTGGCGAGATCAGCCCTCAAAGCCTCCTTTTCTTGTTCCTTCTCCACCAGTGAAAGGCGGAGAGCTGCAAGGGAGTTGGACAAACCCCCTTTTCACCTTCCAGGCGCTCGTTCTCCGCCTTGAGCACTTCAATCGCAGTATCTCGGTCGGAGACCTCGCGAGTTCAGCGCTCTTCCATAACAACAGCCATGTGATACCCCTACATCCAGAAAGAAAAAGACCAAGGCAATCAGCAACAAAAACAAAAACAAGTCTAAAGGCGAACAAACAACAACAAAAGGCAAACCGCCGAAGATGTACCAAGCTCTGGAGTTCTAGTTGAACACGGAGAAGTTGGAAGAAATCCATGTCCCTCAGACGCTGTTTGAAGCGATCTGTTCAAAGAAGAACAAACAAACACAAAACAATAAGGTGAGAAAAGCAAATCTCACAATAAATACACCAACAGCCAGAGACCACCTCCGATGTCTCCAAGAACCCCAAGATAGCACTCTTCCCAACCTGAGATACAAGTGTCGGAGGAGCCTGCGTAGCAAAAAAAACACCAACAACTTAGGTCAGAGGGCCGATCAGAAACAGGCAATAACAACAGGCCAAATGACGAGTAAACTAAAAACACTCAATACTCACTCAGACCCAACACCATCAGCCCCGGTTGCCCTGGACCAAACATGATGCTGGTAGTGGCCGCTCGCTCCTCCAGGGTGAGGAGTCCAGCCATGACATCACCTACAAAGCAACAAGTACACGGTATTACCACTTGGTACAACACATAAACAAATAAACCGGGCAAAGACAGTAAACACAAAAATATGTGCCAAACAAACTTACTCATAAAAAGCCTAGGCTGGGCCGCCTGCCAAGCCCCCTGGGCAGATGTCTCCGCCATATCATGCGGTGAAGGCATAAAGGGCCGGCTCTCCTCAGCCAGCGGCCTGGTGGGCGGAGGGCTCAAAGAAGACTGAGCCACCGGCGCCTGCTCAGTGAGCATGACCTCCGACTGCCCGACGTCTGCCGCTGGCACGGAGGAAGGCACACCAATGGTGGGAATCGAAGGAGCGTGCCGCAAGGCGTCCTCCGCGCCATCTTTAGAACTTGAATACATCCCGCCCAAAATGTCAGGCATAGGATCGGCGGCGCTAGCCTCTGGCTGTTCGGCGACACTCGCAGCACCGTGCAAGGAGCACGCTAGAGCAGCGCTGGCCTTCGGACGCCCAGCATCGCTCACAGCGCTGCTCACAGGATGCATCGGAGCTCCAGGAGAGCCACGATCCTCGCCGCTCGTGACCCGCACGTCCACTGACGTGACGGAGGAGCTCTGAACGTCATCACTACCGGCGGAGGCAACGCCAACACTACCGGCCGAAGACGCGGCCGGTGCGATCACCAGAGCACCGCTCTTCTTCTTCTTTTTCGCAGGCGCCTGGGCAACAACGGCGCCCTTCCTCTTCTTGGATTCGGCCTCCGCCGTAACATTCTTCATGAAGGCCTTCTTCTTCTTCTTCTCAATCGAAGCTAGGACCTCAGCGGGGACCTCGCGCTCCTGGTAGATAATCCCAACCTCCTCAAAAACTCGATTGAGCCGCGGCATGGTGCCTGCCACGGCTCTCCGAGACGTGTATTCACGCTCGGAAATTTTGCCAACCAGCCCGATGGCGGCTTCCTCAACCTAGGAGACAAAACTGTCCTCCGTCACCCCCTCCCCCAAAGACTACCCGAAGCGGGGGAACGGAATCCCGGCCTCCGGCCCAAAAACGAGAACCTTCACCTGTTCCAGCCGAAAGGCTGGGTTGTCTTTGCCTAGGGGCCAGTAGTTGGAGGCCATAATCTCCTCCACCATGTCGCGGCCCCCGGAGTAGCGGCACGCTGCCGCAAAAGCCTGGTCGCAAGCCACCCTCGCCGGAGACATCTCTTCCGGCGGTTCCACGCGCGTGGGCGGCGCCATCTCCTCCATTCTTAAAGTCAATGGATACTCTAAAACCTCCGCACCATCCTCGGTAGTGCCGCGGACCCCGTAGGTCTTCACGTAGAACCACTGCTCAAGTCAGCTACGGTCCCACTTGCCCTTCTGGCAAAAAGAAATCTCCAGGCGGTCTACGCCTTGGTTCCTCTTCGACATAAAGGTGCAACTACCATACTGGTAGGTCACCTCCACCTCCTTGCCATCCCGCACCTCCTCCTTCTTCTTCGGCCAGAAGGTGTCCACATCCGGCTCGGCACCATAAGAGACACACGCCCAGCAGAATTTGCTGAGCGTGAGGAAGGCAGTAGGAGTCAGATGATGGAGCTGGACATTGAAGGTCTCCAACACCCAGCGGAGGAAGGGGATATAAGGAAGGCGGAGGCCACAGGTGAAGAAGTCCTGAAAGACCACCGCATATCCCTCCTCCGGTTCCGGAATAGTCTGGCCAGGCGGAGGGATTTTTACCCTCGAAGAAGGAAAACACGATTCCTTCAACATCTCCGCGATTGCCTCTTCAGTAATGGAGGAGGGGCCAAAATCCCATGACTTTATCGCCATGTCTTTGGAATCCGCAGCGATCAGGTCTCCGACGGACGCAGAGACACTCCCCAAATCCTCCTCCACTAGCTTTTCAAACTCCAATGCGGAGGTAGAGGCAAGCATGCACTCCTCAAAACACGCACCCCAGCCGATGGCCCTAACGCTGAGAAGGTGGCAATAGGGTCTTAAGAAGGCAGGCCAGCGAGTATGGGCGGAGGCGGAAGAGAAAGCCACCGCGACAGCAACCTAAGCGCAAGACGCAGGCAGAAAGATGGAACGCGCGAAGGCAGCAAAAGGCGAAAGCGAAGAGAGCAGACAGCGATTTCTCAGAGGCAAGGAAAGCGAATGAGCAATGTGGGGGGGGGGACCCCGCCACCAACCACGCCCTTATATAGGCCGCAGGCAGGCAGTCCGGCTCCCGCCATACAACGGTCATCTCCGGAGAACTCGCCTGCCGCGCAACGGTCATCTCCAAAAAAGTCGCAAGGTATACAACGGAAACTGATAAGGCATAAATGGCCACACCGTAGGACAATGGCTAGATTTGCTGCCCAACGGCTACTCTCAACGAGACCAACGGCCGCGCCAGAGCGGGCTAGGGGGGAAGTAGCGAGGCCTCGCTCGGAGACGCCAATGCGTGTGGCCTCCGCCCCCGCGGACGCCTTTGGTCAAGGCGTTTTGAGCTCATGGCACGCTCAGGCGAACCGTTGTCTCAAAAGGGGGGAACTGTTGTAACACGGCCTCGGCGGGTGGCGAAGGCCTCCGACGGCGAGGTGTCACCAAGGCGTCTTCGACCGTCTTAGGGCAGAGATCTGGCGCTGACTAAAGGAACTTTCCTGGCTATGCTCGTAGGGCGCTGCACGAGGCTCAGCGAGCTTGTCGCGGATTCTGCCCGGGCCAGGCACAGACATCTCCGACCGCTCAGGCGGACGCCACCCCGCTTCGTCTGACGGGCGTCTCCGGCGCTGAGGGCGGAGGCCGCCCTGCCTCTGAACTAATCAAACAAACAATCTTGCCCAAGTGTGTGCAGGTACCTAAGCGCAGGCACCCGTGGTCCGCGCGAGCGCGCCAGCATGGCCCCCGCGCGGCCGAGCGGAGACCAACGGATGATGTCTCCGACCGGACCGGCGGAGACCCGCGTCGGCAGCGGCGCGCCCCTGAAGCCGGAGGCCAGCGTCGGGAACCCAGGCCTCTGGGCCGAAGACCGAGGCACGGTGGGCCGGTCGCTTATGGAGGCCCATTACTTGAAGACGGTGTGGCAGGATTGCCCCGCAAATAAGAGACTAGGGGCAGAATATTCTAGGAATGTACTGTAGCAGTTGAGGGCATTGTAATAAATTCTGTCAAGAAGTAGTTGAGCCTTATAAATAGGGAACATTTGTAACAGTGCAGGAGGATGGTGGATGAATTAATGAAACCTTAGCGATCCGTGCCAGTTTCTTACACGCCCACCTGTCGTGCCTATCCCGAGCCTCCGCCCAAGGGCGATGCTCGGCGGGCGGAGGCCTCTGTCTCCCCCACGCTGTCTGAGACCGCTAGTCTCAACAACTCGATCGTTTCCACTGCATGAATATCGAATCACACTACTGTGTTCTGAAAAAAGAATATTGTTGTATGTGTGTTTCAATTACCACTACAATAATCCTGTTAATTCGTGATGATAAAAAAATTTCCATCACGGATCACAAAAAAAACACCACAATGCAGCATTTATGATGATTTCAGATAACGTCTTGGATTAAGCGTCATGGATTAACCTCCGTGACGGTTTTCTGAAAACCATCACAAATTAACAGAATCTGTGACAATAGCGTTACGGATGCCCGCCACCGAGGATGCCCGCGAGGGCGTCCAAGGTGTCCTTCACGCTGTGGATGGGCTGCGGCGGCACGTCATTTGGCTTTGTAGCAAACAACGGCCGTAGATGATCGAGGAGGCTAGCGCAGTCGCATGTGGCCTAGCCTCGATGACGAACAACAAGGGACCACGAAGAGACGGACAGATAGAGGTCATTGGAATTGACCGGGTGTGTCTACGAGTGAGCGTTTTGATAGTCTGGGACCCGAATGACGTAGGAAAATAAATTCGAGGACCATACTGAGACCCGATAAAACTACAGTGAGACCCGAACATTGTTTAGATATCTGGACGAATGTTGTGCAAGTTTGGAGACTAAGATAACATAGCGTTACAAGTTTAGGGACCGGTAGTGCACTTTACTCTATATTTAACTAGCAGAGGTAACCCCTCCTGTTTTTAAGAAAACACTATATATATATGTATTATTACATAATAGTCAGGAAGGGATAATTTATTATATTTAAGAAATGCCAAGCTAGGATCATTGCATCATGGCTGGATCCGAGCGCTAGCATGTATAGCACCAGCATTTAAAGTCGCAGTCACAATAGCCGTACATGTTCTCGGAGCTTTCAGCTATGCATGTGTCACCGCAACTGTCGTCAAAGCCCCAGCACGGTCCTTCATAATTGCCGCTCAGGTGCCGGCATTCAGTGTGAACCTCGCATGCAAACGCCATTGAACATAATGGACATACTAGCACATGAAAGAACGTGGTTAATTAGCCCAAAGATTAATCAAAACAACATCTTTTAAAAAAAGATTAATCAAAACAACAAATTAAGTTAGATGCACCGACCAATTCAACGCCAAAACTTTAGGTTTTAGGAGAGACACTTATATTTTCAACAGTTCATACATGTGCACGTACATACCAGCGGCCACGATGACAATTAGGAGCATGGCTACAGAAATATTCTTTCTTGAAGGCGCCATTGGTTGTTTTTCTGGGGAAGTTTTTCTTCGTAATGAGCGAGCAGGTTGGTGGATGATTGAGGAGAAGTCCGATAATATATATATGTCACATGCCTAGTGTGTTGCACCACGTCACATCTGACACAAAAAAAAGATAAATAAAACGAAAATAAAGCTGGGCCTGCACTGGCCATGCAGCCACAATGATAATTAAGAGCACGCATGCACAGAGATTCTTTCTTGAAGGTGTCAATGGTTGTTTTTTCTCGAAGTTTTTGTACGTTGAAGAAAACAATGAGCGAGCAGGCCGGTGGACGATCGAGTGAGGAGAAGCCTGATAATATATATATATATATATATATATATATATATATATATATATATATATATATATATATATATATATATATATATATATATATATATATATATCACATGCCTAGTGTGTTCCGCCATAGAAGCGTATATGGGTATTATCGAGACCATCATCCACATTATATTATTGTCAGCATTCCTTGACCAGGATGTGGACTGAAGGACAGGTTAACATAGCTTAATATGCTAAAGAAAACATGACACCAAGTTGCATTGGTACTAACGCACGTACCTTGTCCGCTTATACACTCGATCGTTTCCACTACATGAATATCGAATCACACTACTGTGTTCAGAAAAAAGAATATTGTTGTATGTGTGTTTCAATTACCACTACAATAATCCTGTTAATTCGTGAAAAAAAAAATTCCATCACGAGAGAGCAGACATCGATTTCTCAGAGGCAAGGAAAGCGAATGAGCAATGCGGGAGGACCCCGCCACCAACCACGCCCTTATATAGGCCGCAGTCTGGCGGTCCGGCTCCCGCCATACAACGGTCATCTCCGGAGAACTCGCCTGCCGCGCAACGGTCATCTCCGAAAAAGTCGCAAGGTATACAACGGAAACTGATAAGGCATAAACGGCCACACCATAGGACAACGGCTAGATTTGCTGCCCAACGGCTACTCTCAACGAGACCAATGGCCGCGCCAGAGCGGGCCAGGGGGGAAGTAGCGGGGCCTCGCTCGGAGACGCCAATGCGTGTGGCCTCCTCCCCCGCGGACGCCTTTGGTCAAGGCGTTTTGAGCTCACGGCACGCTCAGGCGAACCGTGGTCTCAAAAGGGGGAACTGTTGTAACACGGCCTCGGCGGGTGGCGAAGGCCTCAGACGGCGAGGTGTCACCAAGGCGTCTTCGACCGTCTCAGGGCGGAGATCTGGCACTGACTAAAGGAACTTTCCTAGCTATGCTCGTAGGGCGCTGCACGAGGCTCAGCGAGCTTGTCGCGGATTCCGCTCGGGCCAAGCATGGACATCTCCGGCCGCTCAGGCGGACGCTGCCCCGCTTCGGCTGACAGGCGTCTCCAGCGCTGAGGGCGGAGGCCGCCCTACCCCTGAACTAATCAAACAAGCAATCTTGCCTAAGTGTGTGCAGGTACCTAAACGCAGGCGCCCGTGGTCCGCGCGAGCGCGCCAGCATGGCCCCCGCGCGGCCGGGCGGAGCCTTACGGGTGATGTCTCCGACCGGACCGGCGGAGACCCGCGTAGGCAGCGGCGCGCCCCCGAAGACGGAGGTCAGCGTCGGGAACCCAGGCCTCTGGGCCGAAGACCGAGGCACGGTGGGTCGGCCGCTTATGGAGGCCCATTACTTGAAGACGGTGTGGCAGGATTACCCCGCGAACAAGAGACTAGTGACGGAATATTCCAGGAATGTACTGTAGCAGTTGAGGGGCATTGTAATAAATTCTGTCAAAAAGTAGTTGAACCCTATAAATAGGGAACACTTGTAACAGTCCAGATGGATGATGGATAAATTAATGAAACCTTAGCTTTCCGAGCCAGTTTCTTACACGCCCACCTGTCGTGCCTATCCCGAGCCTCGGCCTGAGGGCGACGCTCGACGGGCGGAGGCCTCTGTCTCCTCCACGCTGTCTGAGACCGTTAGTTTCAACAAGAGGAAACTTGTTATATCACAACAACTGTAATGCAATCTTTTGTAATATATGCACATGAAATAATATAATGTAAAATACACATATGCATGCATGCATGTAAAATATATATATATGATGCATATATATATATATATATATAGTTCTATGCTTGAATTGTGTCATTTAATACGTTCATTGTGCTTGAACCGAAACATACTATACGCGTGTATAAATGTATTATTAGCAGCGTACAATACGACTTCGAAAACCTATTTTGAAAAGAAAACAAAAAAATGAAAAGAAAAGAAAAAAAAAAAAAAATAACCTATTACCAACCAGGGACTAAAGGATGTCGGCCTTGTGGCATGTCAGGAGGCACCTTTAGTCCCGGTTGGTGTTACCCACCGAGACTAAAGGTCCCCTTTAGTCCCGGTTCCTGACCCAAGACTAAAGGACCCCCTTTAGTCCCGGATTCTTGCTCCCGGGTGGGGAACCGGGACTAGAGGGGGTTCCCCACCGGAAGTAAAGGCCGTCTCTGTACTAGTGCCTGCAGGCGTGGGAGCGAGAGGATTTTCGAATGGCTCCACAGTTTTGCCGCCAAATATTGGGAGACCCACGTCTTTTGGACGCAACAACCTCCTAATTTACAGTCTTTGACAAAAATGATTTTCCAGGCAAATATGAAACAAAATCACACCACGTCCTCCACAAAAAGGCTCTAATTTACACAGCAATGCATTAGACAACTTGGAACTGCATTTGTTATTAGAACTGCACAAAAATAGAAGCAAAACGATGAGCTACATAAAGAAGTGGCATATGTACTCCCAGGATGCCTAAGAATACTTTTTTTGGCATTGGTAGTTGTATGTGACTCAAAATTCACAATTTCTTCTTTACTTGTTGCCTTTAGAAGTAGCCTTTGTAAGTCACATATAACATTAGTTTGCTGGTACGTCGTAAGCTCCTTCCTAGTATTGTACTTAGTATCCTAAGATTCTAGCTACTATTCGTATCAGGATCACGTCAATCAAACCTTGGCTGCATGCGGGGGATATATCACATTGAAATACAGGGACGTTTCGTGTTGTAGCGACAGGCGGTGAGCTCTAAACCAGCAAACAAAAACTTCCTGATGAAACGAGGCATACGAATTCCTACTTTTACTTTCAGTTTTTTTTTACCAGTGACGGCGTGCTAATATTAAGAAGCGTTAACTTTTAGTCATCGATGACGTGGCGCCCTAGCTCGATTGGCCGTATATATATACGTGTCATAGAGGCGGTATCTGAGTATCTCATAGACTCACACTAAGAGCTAGCTAGCTAAAATAACCGCGAGGGGCCGACGACACCAGACAAGATGAGCGTGCCGATCCCTGGGAAATCGTCATGGCCGGAACTGGTGGGCGTGAATGCCACGCTGGCAGCGACAGCGATCGCCCACGACAGGCCGGACGTGGCCGTGGAGGTGCTCCCGCCGGGGGCACCGGTCATCCCGGACTTCAACCCCGCGCGCGTCCGCGTCTTCATCGACAACAACAACCTTGTCGCCAAGGTCCCCGTCATAGGCTAGGACGTACTCTAGGCCTCTAGCTATCCAGGCACCAGGCGCTGCTCCCGGCCAGCAGCTGGTTTTGATCGATGTTTGGAGTCATGTGTGTCGTCGTCGTCGTCGGCTCGTCAGTCATCACGGTGCCGCGATCGAGCTGTGTGTGTGTGTGTGTGTGTTGTGATGGAATAAATACCGGCTGCTGTTCCCTGTGTGGCCTCGCACTCGGCTGGGACATGTATGTGTACCTGTGAGAGCACCGGCAAGTCATACACTACTGTGCTACTGGTGTTCATACAATGCATGTCTTCTACCTCTCGCTCTCTCTGCTTACGAGAGTGAACAGATTATCAGTGATCGTAAACAAAACAAAGGCTATTTTCATTTCTATTTTGAATATGAATATAGAAAAAACTGTATTACCAAGGGGGATACAAATTGGCAAGCCTAAGGGAAAATAAGTGCTAACTACCTATCCAAACACAGCTAAGTCCCAAGTAAAATCAAAAGCCAGAAAACCTTAGCTCCTATTCTTTTTGGCCTCCGTGGAAGCTCCGTGTTTGAGTGCTGAACTGCCACACTTAATGGTTGATCGTCTACAAAAGGGAAGGAGTACAATATACTCTCTCCCCTTCTTCCCCAATGGTCATCTGCGACATTACTCACTCACCTGCCTGTGAATAGCTCCCTCTCACCCCATTGAAGGCTCCCCAACCTCTCCCATTGTTTCTTAGTGAAGTCCCTTGAGAGATTGAATTTAGATGTGAGTTAGAGAGCTTGTGATGGAGGTTTTCAAATGTTCTCCCCTCCTAGCTGTTGGTTCGTGTTCTTTTTCTCTTGGAGTTCATTGTATTGCCCTTGTGAAGCTAATGAAAACCCCCAAGCTTAATCTTTGTGGTTCGCTTGAGAAGATGAAAGGGCTGGAAGAGACCCAAAGCCTTTGTGGCTTCCTCACCAATGAGGACATAGACAATCTTGGGCTGGATGGTCTAAATGTGAGCTTTGACTAATGATCTATGCAACAATTTGGGTTGGTAATGTTTTTAGCAACACGAAGAATAGTAATTCGACTAGATGGTTTGTTTGTCTAAGGTTGGATAGTGCTGTGAATTGGTGGACATTTGTGGTCGTGGGTGTGATATGGTGGTTTGTTGACGGGTATGAATTATAACATTGTGCTTGTGAGGCTGCCAACAATTGTTGGTATCAGTTATGCTAACTTATATTGCAAATGCACAGTAATGTTGGAGTCTTTTCCATAAGAATTTAAGAGTATTTTAAAGTTTATATCAAATTCAAGCAACAAACAGTATTTTAAGATCTACATGGACAACCTTTTATACTAATGAAATCTATTATGTGTTGTAGGGTGTTCTAATCTACTGAACTAGGGTGAAAACGATGCTATAGCAGTGTCGTGTTGTGAACGGAAAAAATGTCGTTGCCTAGGATATTAGGATCGTCATCTAGTAACTGTCTATAGACTACTGTATCTCTCTATTAATCTTACGCTTTTCTTTACATGCATTATGAACAATTCGCCCAATAGAAGAATTCATAACCACCACGCTACAGCACAGCATATTGTTTTGGATTGACTCATGCATGAGTGAAGTTAACATTAAACAAGAAACTCCTTTAAATAATGAATGCTAGCTCTCCCTAACATCCCTACCCCCACCCCGGCCCCACCCTCAGTCACACACTCACTCTCTCAGATCCTAATAGCGCCAATGTGACATCAAACAACGAAAGCAAAAATAGAAATTATGTTCGTGCAATCGACATCACACCTTGTACACATCGTTGTCTTGTCGGCTGCATTGTAGTTGTAAAGGTTGTGATCCTAGGTAGAATCATCTTTAGGAGTATTTGTCTAAAAGCATCGGTCGGATCGTAGAATTAACTCGTATATCGAGATTCTGTATGTTTCTCAACAAAATATTTACATAACTAAGGTTTGTAATATATCTTACAAAGATCGAAGCATGCTGATTCATATTAATTTATTAGTTTTTTTCTCTAAATTTAAGTGGACAGTTGAACATATTCACCGCACAAAACAATTTTTAATTATTTGTATCAACCAAATGATGTAATGAAACTTTAACATAGGATTCCATTGTAGGCCAGAGAGATAGTTTTATTGCCACAGTAGACTATATAAAAATCCACTTCTCATATATCTCAAGTGCCTGACTTTTTGTTGTTGTTCGAACGACATGTAATTCTGTCATGATTTAGCTATATAGAAAAAATATGAATTGTCTTTTCTAAGTTTGTTTTAGTTGTACTAGTTGATCGTGTAAAATTATTGCCTGAAAACTTCTAAAAATTTAGGCACCAAAAATATAGCAACTCGTGTTTATTATGAGTAGGACGTTAGTACGTCGTAAGCTGCTTCCTATCTAGGATTGTACTTCGTATCCTAAGATTCTAGCTACTATTCTTATCAGGATCATGTCAATCAAACCTTGGCTGCATGCGGACATTTTGTGTTGTGGCGACCGGCGAGCTCTAACAGCAAACAAAAACTTATTGATGAAACGAGGCATATATACGCATTCCTACTTTTTACCAGTGACAGGGCGCCAAATGATGCAGCGTCGTTTAACTTTTACCGAAGCCTGTCGTCAGGAATGGCCGGCCGCGCACATGTATATATATGCGCCAAATGAGCGCACATGTAGAGGTATCTGAGTATCTCATACTCGCACTGAGAGCTAGAGCTAGCTAGCTAGTGACAGTAGTTTTCCGAGCGGCCGGCCGGCAAGATGAGCGTGCCGATACCCGGGAAGTCGTCGTGGCCGGAGCTGCTGGGCGTGAATGCGACGCTGGCGGCGACGGCGATCGCCCACGACAGGCCGGACGTGGCCGTGGAGGTGCTCCCGCCGGGGTCGCAGGTCGTCCCGGACTTCAACCCAAAGCGCGTCCGCGTCTTCGTCGACAACAACAACCTTGTCTCCCAGGTCCCCGTCATCGGCTACGGCTCTAGGCCTCTAGCCAGCCAGGCGCTGCACCCGCCTAGCAGCTGGTTTTGATGTTTGGAGTCATGTGTATCGTCGTCGTCGTCGGCTCGTCAGTCATCACGGTGCCGCGATCGAGCTGTGTGTGTGTGGTGTGATGGAATAAATACCGGCTGCAGTTGCCTGCATGGCCTCGCTCTCGGCTGGGACATGTATGTGTACCTGTGAGATTACCGGCAAGTCTTCATACAATGCTTGTCTTCTACCTCTCGCTCTCTCTGCTTATGAGAGTGAACAGATTATCAGTGATCGTAAACAAAACGAAGGCTATTTTCATTTCTATTTTTAATTTGAATACAGAAAAAACCGTATGATCAAGGGGGATACAAATTGGCAAGCTTAAGGGATATTAAGTGCTAACTACCTATCCAAACAAACATCTTAGTCCCAAGTAAAAGCCAAAGCCAGAAAAACTTAACTCCTATTCTTTCTGGACTTCATGGAAGTTCAGTGTTTAGGTCCGGAACTTCCATACTTAACGGTTGATCGTCCAATAAAAAGGGAAGGAGTACAAATATACTCTCTCCCCTTCTTACCCAATGGTCATCTGCAACATTACTCACTCCTCTGCTCGTGGATAGCTCTCTCTCAACCCAATGAAGGATCCCCAATCTCTCCCATTGATTTTTAGTGAAATCCCTTGAGAGATTGGATCTAGAACTGAGTTAGAGAGCTTGTGAGCAAGGTTTTCAGATGTTCTTGCCTCCTAGCTGTTGGTTTGTGTTCTTTTTCTCTTGGAGCTTGGCCTCATAGATGGCTAGAGGCTACCCTGGAAGTTCGAATTGCCCTTGTGAAGGTAGTGAAAAACCCCAAGCTCAATCTTTATAGTTCGCTTGAGAAGAGGATAAGAGTAGAAAAAGAACAAAGCCTTTGTGGATTCCTGTAATGCACCGACCCGGGAAGACGGCTAAGGCCCACTCTACACGTTGAATGAACCACACTTGCTAATTAACTCTCTTGCGCTTTCGTCCTCGCTTCACGCAAAAGGATCGATCTGGAGTTAACAGTCTCCCAGGTCCAGGTTTTTAACTTGGTTCAGCTCTTCTTCAACTTCCGATGTGGTACTAAACTTTGGCCACTACATTGTTGTCCGTGGTGCTACAGTACCACACAACCTTGGCCTAGCCCACAGCCTGCCGGGTGCTACAGTATTGGGCCTCATTCCATTGGGTCTCACGCTTCCTCAACAACGAGGATGTAGACAAGCCTTAAGGCTCTGCTGGACCTCAGGGTAAATCATGTGTCTTGTCCTTATTGTTGTTGATTTGTACTGTACCTCTTGTTTGAATCCATATTCCAAGGTTTCCGGTCGATCTACTCGTGTAGTGTGTTGTAGCAGCAAGAACTTGGTGCTAAGGGAAGCTCATACACCTAGGAGGCTTGGTATTTAACTCAACCTAAGTTTAGACCCCATTCAATTTAGTTCTTAGCTAGGACTCGTAGAACTTCTGCGAATTTGTCCGAAACTTCTGCACCGTGGAAGTTTCGCCGAAATCTACTGCGGAACCTTCACATTTTGCTAATCCACTGCATCGAATTTAGGTTTTTACAAGCCTATTCATCCCCTATAACCCTTGACTGATCCTTTCAATAGCTAACCGAGCACTGCAGAACTCACACAGGCCTCTTTATATGGGCTGGCTCCATCCATTCCACCCTCGCAAAGACCCTGCTTGACCCCAAGTAGGAGCAAAAGGGAATTCTTGCTTGGGAGCTTCAAAGTCTTTCCATGTTGCCAAAACGTATGTTTCAGTCCTAAAAACATCTGCAAGCTAGGCTAAAAGATAATAAAAGAGGAAAAAGTGGTGCATTGAAAATCATACAAGAGATTCTTTCCTGCTACACACTCAGTTCACCCTGGATCTCTTTTTGTCAGAGTGAGAAAGCTAAAGAGATAGAAGAATCTTTACATCCATATGTTGATGCATCTCCACTGCAAAAATTCAGGCCACATTGCATAGTACTGCATGATGCATATGCTAGCATTGCATTGCATGAGGCAATACAAAAGGTTACTTGAGGGAGCACACGTACTGTGTTAACTGAATAGTCATGTGTTCATGTTAATTTGGTCTGAGCTCTTACAAGTACTGTGTAATATAATTAGTAGTAGACTAGTAGTAACGGTGGTCATTGGCAGGTGATGAAAGCTTTCCCACTTTACCCATGCATGATAAGGCTCTGTCATTGCTCATCACTTTCACTCACTATCAGGCCTTAATGCAGGAGTCAGTGTTAGAGTATATATTAGGATATCTCCAAGATATGGTAGATTAAAATCGTATAATCTCGGCTTACCTTATATATCTAAGGGAGACCTTTTGCACCCTAAGCAATGTACTACTATATAATCCATCCACAAGACTTAGCAATACAGTTTTTCTATTCCTCCAATAGTCAGGATGCATGTAAGATTTTTTTGACCACTATTGGTTGTCAATTTGATTATCTGTGCCATGCATATATATATATGTTCATTGGAATACGGGACATTCGCCGTCTATAGGTCCTCCAGTCCTAGGCCACCGGCCGGCGACCTCTGACAGCAAACAAAAGGTTACCTGTGATGAAACGAGGCAGCCTAAACTTTCCAGCAAAGCCTGGCATCAGGAATGGCGTGGCGCCAGGCCGTGTGTACTCCTATATATACACACGTGCGTGCCGCACGCAGAGGTATCTCTCAGTATCTTCGACGGAGTATCTCATACAGTACACCAATCGAGCTAGCCCTAGTGAGGAGCAGGCAAGATGAGCCAATCCCCGGGAAGTCGGCGTGGCCGGAGCTGCTGGGCAAGCAGGCGACGCTGGCGGCGCTAGCGATGGTCGTGGAGGTGCTCCCGCCGGGCTCGCCGGTCGCCCCGGAGTACAACCCCGAGCGCGTTCGCGTCCAAATCGACGACAACGGCCTTGTCTCCCAGGTCCCCGTCATCGGATAGCCAACCCAGCTGGTTTTGTCTGGTGTCATGTGTGTCATCGTCGTGTCGTCGCCGTCGTCTGTTCATCACGGTGTGCCGTGATCGATCAAGATGTGTGTGTGGCGTAATGGAATAAATACGACAATAATGTCGTCGTCGTCGTCTGTTCATCACACTACTACAGATTTAGGCATCACTGTCAGCCTCATCACTGTCGTATTTATGAGAACCAACAGTGATGTACCTTCATTGTCGTTTATGAGCCTGAAAAAGAGAAAATGACTGGGGCTGGGCTAAAACCGGCAGTGAAGGGCCACATCACAGCCGGTTTGTAGCTATAACCGACAGTGTTTTGGTGGCCACTTATCACTGCCGGTTCAAGCCAAGAGCCGACAGTGATTATGATCTATCACTGTCAGTTCTAGCAAAGAACCGACGGTAATAAGCCTACAGTAAAAAAGGTTGCATCCGTCCTCTTCTTCCTCCTCTCTTTCATCCCGAGAATAGAGACGCGCGTTTGGGCCCTTTCCTCCATTGTTGCGGCTGCTCTTCACCATGAAGCTAGCGCTTGAATTTTAAAGAATGGCTTGATCTTTTTGTTTTAAGGTTAGTAACAAACATCCACTCCTTTGATTTTGTTGCTTAATTAGCTTTGTTTTGATGGCTACATTGCTAGATTCTCATTCTAGTTCTTTTCCCATTCTAGAGAGCATTTTTTCAATTGGACATTTGTGCAAGGCTCAAATTATGGTGAATTCATTATCCAAAAAGTTGGTGTCTATGAACACATTTAAATTCCTAGCTAATTATTCCATGGTGGTCAAGATCATCATTGTTAGTATGTGATGCTATAATTAGTCCTTAAAAGTAGAGTAGAATAGTTGTTCTTCATTATTGTGCAATAACTGTTTTTTACTACGATTTTCAATTTACAGGGCTGGGGCTACCAATTTCAATTTTCCAATAATTAGTGTACAATAATATTTTTCAAGAATGGTACTTTGGAGCTACAATTGTTGTTCATGAAGCTCAATTTCTTATTAATTCTTTGTAATTACTGTCTCAGTATTTTTTGTGTGCAGAGATGGATCGAGAGTGGATGCATCTGTCCCGAATGAACAAGTGGTATATGCATGGCATCAGCCAGTTTATGACCGATGCCAAAGCCCATGCTGAAAATGGGAACCCTGTCTTTTGCCCATGCAAAGATTGCAAGAATCAAATGAACTTTCGTCAAATTGAGTCTATACGATCGCACTTGATTTTCAGGGGGTTCATCCCAAACTATACGATATGGACTATGCATGGCGAGGTTGGTGTGAATGTTCTGTAGGAAAACGATGATGATATGGACATGCCTGACGTAGCCATCCACGATGCTCACGAGGAACGCGGTGTCAACACGGAACCTATGGCCACAATTAATAATGTGTTTAGGAACACGTTAGCTGACGACACCGAGGATAACGATTGTATTTCTCAGCTGCTACGTAATGTAGAGACCGGATGTCTTAGTGAAAGACAGCTGAGAAAGCTAGAGAAAATGAGACAAAATGGCAAAACACCATTATATAGGAATTTTCCAATGAGCAAACTGAAAGCCGACATCATGCTGTTAGAGTTCAAATCGACAAACGGATTGAGCGATAAAGGCTTCGATCGGTTGTTAGGTATAATAAGGAAAATGCTCCCAGAAAAAAATGAGTTGCCAGAAAAGACATACTTGGCCAAGCAAATGATCTGCCCCATCGGCCTCAAAGTTGAAAAAATCCACGCGTGTTCCAATGATTGGATATTGTACCATGGACAAAAATAGAAAGACTTGGACAAGTGCCCCAAGTGTGAAGCTCCATGGTACAAGGAAAGGCCGTCAGATGAGGGTATCAAGACCAGAGGAGGTCCTATAAAGGTCATTTGGTATTTTCCTATAGCTCCCCGGGTGCATAGGTTGTTTGCATGTGCAAAGTCAGCCAAGATGTTGCGCTGGCATGGCGAAGAGCGTAAGAAAGATACAATGATGAGGCACCCCACCGATGGGCATGATGAGAGGACTGTCAATACTATGTTCTATAAGGACATCGGTTGAGAGGCAAGGCGCCT